AGATATGGTGGGGGTGCTGCAGCCCACACAGAGTGTGTGTGTGTGTGTGTGTGTGTGTGTGTGTGTCTAGGCACTCCTGACAATTTGTAGACATCTCCGGGGGAGATTTAGACTCCGACAGGGCAGAGTTTAAAGTAACTTGTGGAATCAGGAGCTGGGGAAATCCCTTCCGATTCCTGGCTGAGGTCAGGCGGGACTTCAGGGCTGCCCGGGTAACTGCTACCAGCACATTCACTATTTTCCAGATCTTCAAACTAGATGCTGAAGGTGCTGAAAACGATTAGTACTTTTGTCAATGATTAATAATTTGCCAACTATTTTCAGTTCCTTCAAAAATGACTAACTGGCAATGCCAATATTCCTGGTGTTCTTTCTCCCCAGAAAATAACTTCCAATGGGCCCATTCACACTGTTCGACCTTCTACAAGCAGCTTCATAGGTATAGCAGGAACTGAGTAGGAAGCTTTTAAAGAAAATGTCACCGTCACTGATAATAACATATCCTTTCAATCCTGACGTATCTGTGTTAGTTAGAAAGCATGTGAACCTTTCAGGTGGCCATACCAAAAGAGTTAAGTAAATCACAGTCCTCCTATGATAACTTATATTATTCACTTGTTACAGTCAACAGCAAATAGATTTTTATCACACAATAAAGAAAACTGGAAAGTCAACAAAAAAGGAAAAAGACACGGCAGAATGATCAACTGACAGGAATAAGATCAGATCCTCCATTTATTATTTTCAAAAGTATTTTCTCTGGATTTGTCTGAGGGTTACCTGCTGTATTTGTAATCCTCTATTTTAAAAAAAGTCAAATATGAACTGCTTGCAAAATGTGTAACTAATGTGTAACTAATGCATGGATGCTATAGATGAAAGCATTCAGGAATACCTCTGGTTTCATAAAGGTCTTCCTAGTGAATTTACAGAACCAGTGGGACTAGCATCAAACCCAGGAAACTGTAAGAAATACAAATGATTCTTGGATTCCACCTCAGACTTACTGATCAAAATTGGGGGCGGAGGGGAATCTCTGTTTTAAGAAGCAACTCTGATGCACACTAATGCTGGAGAACCCCTGGTTTTAAGTGAAACCTGCTATTTTTAACAGTCGAAGACCAACTCTCCTATCAAAAATGAGAAGAAATTATTATAAAACAGGACGGGATTAGGGCATTGTTTAGGGTGATGACAGGTTTGATGTGTGAGCTGAACTCTGGATGGTGCCCGAATACACACGTGGAGGGGTGAAGAATATCTGCTTAAAATTCTTTTAGTTAAAATTTTAAATATGTTTACAGCCTCTTGAAATACATATATATTGCCAGTGAAAAATCTAGGACTAGCCAATACATATATACCTGTATGGTCGATTGAAATCTGAAATACATACAGCTATCAACACTGTACTCCTGGGTGCTGGATGGAGAAACATTTCAGATCTGTGGTCTGCAGCTGTTAACAAGCAGTTTGAAGACTGGCTATACTACATTTCTCATTTACTAATTCCTTCATAATATAAAATTATGCTCCCCCCCAAAACAGCCCTTCGAAATCATAATGGGAATAAATCACGTCACTCCCCATCTGGTTAATTACCACAACTAGAGGTTCCCCCAGCAGTAAGAGGAAATGTGGCTTAAGCAGAAGAGTTGCAATTTCACATTTGCTTTTTATTTGAGTCATAAACTAAAGGTTGGTTCTTAGGTCTAAAACCATTTTAAGAACAAGATGAAATACGTTGAAATCATTAGAAAAGCTATCAGAACCTCTCCTCCTTCCACAAGGCTTCGATTTGTGTAAACTCAATACTTGAAGACACGACAGCTTTTTAAAGGCCATTCATAAAAGGCAATTCTGGTTTGAAGACAGACGAACAAACTACGCCCTTGTCAGAAGCTGTATAAAAGCTGACAGGGAGGCAATACCCGATTGCTGCGGAGCCTACCTGTCGGCAGGTGAGGGTTTGGGATTCCGCGGCTTCTTCACTTGCGCGTACAAAGCGTCCATCGTGTGTCCTTCCCTGGGGCTCTGGGGCCTGGCGTTGAGAGCCAGGGACCCTTCATAGGAAGAAAGTCCTCCATACATCAAGTCTTCGTCACAGCCGAAGGTCCGATGAAAATCGTGAATTTCAGCGTAGTCACGCTCTCGGGCCTGTCGCTCCCTGAATTCTCGAGTTTTGGCTTGAATTCTATAAAATGAAAACAAAGTTGAAGGAAGAGAAAACTATTCCTTGTCTAAGAAGTGCATAGAGAAAATATCAAAATATATCATAAAATATATTTTATTTCAGGCAGTCACAGAAAATCGGTGGCGTAAGTTATATACATTCTAGATGGTCAAGTCATGTATGGGTGCTCAAAAATAAAAACGTCAGACAGCTTTTGTTTGTACTGGTAACATCAGTCATAGTTGAAATCTTAAGTTTAAGTTTTCAGATATTGGGGTCGGCCGATGGTATGGTGGTTAAGGGTGCTAGACTCTGACATGGCCAACCATGGTTCGAGTCCTGGACCTGGTGGCTTGCTTTCTCACTTTCCCTCTCTTTCTCTCTCTCTGGCCCTCTCTTGTCACATTAAAATAAATAAATAAATACATACATACATACATACATATATAAGTTAAATAAAATAATTCTTAAATAAATAAATAAATGTTTAGATATTAACTACCTTTACAAATTCACCAGGAATAGGGACCAGCAAGTAGTGTGATAGTTAAGGTGTTGGACTCCCACATGGCTGACCATGGTTCAAGTTCCAGACCCAGCAGCTTAAAAATCATGCTGGGTGCTTGTGCATGCATGCCCAGATCCCAGGAGAATGAAGAAGGGATTGCAGCATGGCCACTCTCCTGGAGGCAGTATATCTTGCCCCCTACCTGCTTTGATTTCATATGCTCCAAAGGCAACTAGAACATCCTGAGGTTAAAGACAGAAAGACAGGTGTCCAATCAAATTCTGAAGCAAAACTTGCCTGCTTTCCAACTAAGAAGCAGATCCTAAATATCCGCTTTTACTGAAGATATGTTTAGTTACTACTTGGCTCAACGTCCTCTTCAACTTACACACTGACATAATTTATTCCTTAAGTCGATCTTGGTTATCAAGAAGTAAACAACATTCAACAGAATTCTGAAGATTTTTGATAGAAAACGTTTTCATTACATACTCACCAATTGAAGTGTTTACTTCAAAGCAATGGTCTTATTTATATAAAGCAATTGTTTAGACTGAGTTTAATATCTTACTGCAAAGGGTTTCTTTCACATACGCATGCTAGACCTCTGCTACATAAATGACACATAAAGATAAAAATCAAAAGAATCCAGAAAAGATACCAAAATCAAATGAACACAGCATTATCAAAAAAGGAAGAGGAGGAAAAAAAAGAAAACTACAGGCCAATATTCCTCCTGAATAGAGAGGTGGAGATGCTCAACAAAATATTAGGAAACAGAACTTAGCAACATATAAAAAGAATTGTACACCATGGCCGAATGTTTATTGAAGGAATGAAAGCCTGATCTGACGTTCAAAAATCAGTCACTGTAATCCACCACGTTAGTAGGCTTTAAAAAACAAAGCCCGCATGATTATATCAGCTGACATAGAAAAAGCATTTGGCAAAATTCAACACTCATCACAAGAAAAGTCCTCAGGAAACTAGGAAGAGTGGAACTTCCTACACGTGATAAGGAGCATCTCCCGCAAACTTACAGGTGTCATCACACACATGGAGGGACATGCATCCTCTCCCTACCTGCAGGGACAGGAAGGCAGTGTGCTCCCTCCCCTGCAAATCACAAGGTGCCGCAAGTTCTAAACAAAGCAGGAAGCTAGCAAAGGAAGAGAAAGACACACAAGTTGGGGACGAGGGGATCAAACTCTTATTTGCAGATGACAGGATGTTCTATAGAGAAAATCCCGAGGAATCTACAAGCATCTTCTAGAATTAAAATGCAAATTCAGCAAGTTCACAGGATCCAAAATTGTCTACAAAAATCCGTTACATTTCTCCATGTTGGCAATGAACACATGGGCACTGAAATTAAAAGCACAATGCCATGTACAACCACTAAAAAAAATTGTGTGTGTGTGTGTGTGTGTGTGTGTGTAAACTAAAGGGTGGCTATGAGCCTACAGAGACATATAAAAGTACACCAACATAAATCTAACAAACCAGGGACAGAACTTCCATGCCAACAACTACACAATGCAGCTGGAAAAAATCAAAGGTGAACTAAAAACTGGAGAGACATGCTGTGGTTGAGGATGAAAAGACTTGATGTACAAAATCAGTCAATTCTCCCCAAATTGATACACAGGTTTAAAGCAATCCTATAAAGATATACACAAGGTTGTGTAGCTACTGACAAGACTAGTTTCGAATTTATAGGTGACAGAAGACAGCCCAGTTGAACAGATGGTGAGCAACAGCGGTGAGCTGGGAGGACTCGCACCCTGGACTGTAAGATCTGTAATGCACGACAGCAGGTCTACGCTGCCCGGGTGACTGTGGAGGGACAGACATGTGGAACAATGGGAACCCAGAAACGGCCAGCAAGTACGGCCAACTGATTTCTCACGATTGGGCAAGAACGATTCAAGGGAAAATAGACTATCGTTTACGGTCTTTTCCCACAACTGGTGCCAGAGCAAGTGGCCATCGAAAGGGAAAAACAAAGAAACGGATCGTGAACTTCACAACGGATACAAAACTCAGCTCCAAACGGATGACACGTTTTAATGTAAAACATAAAACGATGAAAATTTAAAAGAGAACAGAATATCTTTGAAGTCTAGTGTTTGATAGAGTTCTTAGACAAAATACTACTCATAAAATATGTACATAAATGATAAGTCATCAAACTTAAGTTATCCTCTGAACGTTTCAATTTGCGAGATGGGAGAAAATATTTGCAAACCACACATCTGACAAAAGACTCACGGCCACATGACATAATTGGTATTCAACAATGAAAGACAAACAAATAGAAAATGAGCAATAGACACGAGACATTTCTGAAAAGGACCAAATGGGTGACATGAAAAATGGTCAACATCATCTATAATTAAATGGTATAGCCACTCTGGAAAACAGCCTGGCAGTTGCCTTAAGAACTGGACATCTGGGCCAGGAAGTGGTATGGTGGTTAAGGTGCTAGACTCCCACACAGCCAGCTATGGTTCAAGTCTCAGAGCCAAAGGCTTGAAAATCATGCCAGGAGTGTGTGTGTGTGTGTGTGTGTGTGTGTGTGTGTGTGTGTGCGTGTGCGCACATGTGCGCCCCAAATCACATAAGGACAGAAGAAAAGGGATTGCAGCATGGCCATTCCTCCTAGGGAGTGACTTTCCACTTTCCCTCTCACTGTCTCTCTCTGGAAAGTACACGCGCCCTATAGCAAAAACCTAAATACAAACGAAAAAATAAAAAAACTAAGCATACACTTCTGGAAATTGGACTCCTAGGTATCTATCCCAAAGAAATTGAAGTGTTCATGCAAAAAACCTGTACACGTAATTTGTAGCCACTTTATCTGTAATACTCAGAAACGGGAAATAGCCCAAATATTCTACAAAAGGTGACTGTTTAAACAGACGAGGGCACATTGGTTCCTCAGAATACCACTCGCCAGTACAAGCGAACTCAACAGCGCAGCTCAAATCCACCCCGAGGCCATTACGCGATGTGCAGGAACAGGCAATCTCAAATGGCCACCGTCATTTAGAGAACGTTCTCCCAAAGACCCTTACGGGGATGGTGAACGGGGTAGTGGCTACCGGGGGCTAGGTATGGTGGGGAAAGAGGGGTTCTAGGAAAACCTGTGTGACGGTGACATCACTCTACACAGGTGGTCAGAGGACAGAGGCCCGCAGACACTCCCTGTACCCACACGGCTTCCTGGGGTCGACTTCCTGCGAGGGCTCTGTGAGAGGTGGCCATCGAAGGAGACTGAGCGGAGGGTATACACGCCCTCTGTGTACACCTTTCGTAACTTCCTGTGAGTCTAAAGTAAAAAGGGTGTTTCTCTTTGTTTGTTTGCCCAGCCACTGTGGTTCATACCCTCAAGATGCCGTGCTCTGCAGGCCGGGGCCCTGTGGGAGCCCGGGCTCACTTCCCACTCCGACCTGAGGGTTGGGCAAAGCAGCGTGGGCCCATGATTCCAGTGGCCTGGGGGTGCTGAAGCAGGAGGATCTCAAGCTCAAGGCAGACCTGTGGTGGCAGGTACCTATATTCCCACCTAGGGGGCTGTGGGAGGAAGTCTGTGACATGGAGCAGCCCTGTCTTTATTTTAATTACTTATTTAATTTTACTTATACTTATTTATTATTATTACTCGGTTTGACCTGAGAGAAGCATAGAGAGAGAAAGAAAGGGAGTGAAAAAGCATGCTACAAGTTCTGGGACTTGAACTGCAGTCAGCCATGTGGGAGTCCAGCACCTCAACCAGCACACCACCTGCTGACTCCAAGAAAAACACTTTTAAAGTCAAAAAAATTACAGGAAAAAATTTGCATTTTCTCTTTTCTGAGATCTATCTAGAATAGTTTAGCACTATCACTCTGGTCTTTTCCTAATGTTAACTGTGGAGGTCAAATTTCTCTCATTTTCCTTATTTCTCAAGCACAAAATGGGCTTTTTTTTTTTTTTTTTTGGAGAGGTTTTCGCTATAAGACGCATGCGCTCGCCAGACAGACAGAGAGAGAGAGACAGAAAGCGAGAAAGCCCCCCCCGGGGGGATGGCCACACTGCAATCCCTTCTCCTCCATTCTCCTCTCAGGATCTTGGGCACACACGCCCAGCGTGAGTTTTAAGCCACCGGGTCTGGGACGCGAACTGCGGTTGACTACGTGGGAGGCCAGCGACATAGCCATTACGCTAACTGCTGGTTCCCAAAATGGGCTATTTCAACCCACACAGCTCAGGGTTTCTTAGCCAGTGTCCAGGGCTATTCTAGGGATAGCCTGCTGCTGCACAGGACTTCCAGCACCACCGCTGCCTGGCACGTGTGATTAAGCACTATCACTGGCCATCGGGTGGCAAAACGCCTCTCCTGTTTCCAAAGCCTCCCTAGAGTCCATATTGCCTGAGTCCAGCCAATGTCTTTCTTATAAGAGAATAATGGAAGGCTGGAAATCTTTACCAGAAGATTCTTAGGTGCTAATAAATATGAGTCCTACACACAGAA